ACAATACAGAAACAATTAACATTATGTCCAAGAAGACAAGCAAAGATAGAGCAAATTGAAAATACTGAATAGATAGTTAAAGCTTATTATTGAGAGTTACGGGATTCAATCTTATTAAGTTCCAAAGCTGGTACCACAGTAATGGTATCCAAAAACTGCAATCCACTAGGCTTCTATTGTTATGCACAGAAGTCTGAATCTTAGTGGAGCAACATGAGTGATAAGATGAAAAGTTTCGCACTCTTCAAGAAAGTTACCGTAACAACCGAGCATTAAAGAAAGAAACTTTTGTGTTTAGCATTTTTCCAGAGTTGTATCACATTTTCTTGCAAAGCAACTGTGAAAAGGATGAAAAGAGAGGCCAGAGAATGTGAACTAAGTCCTGTCATAGCTAAGACCTTAATGCATTAAGATGATTTGACTGTCTACCAAATCAAAAAGATTCTTGGTATTGGTTAGTGAAAAATAAAATCTTCTTATGTAACACTGAATCAAAGAAATGATATAAAATAAAAGTGACAATTGTTTGTTGAATTTTGTGCAAAGCTACTTGAGGGTTTTTTGCACTAGCCATCCCTAATTTTGAAGTGATAGATAAGAGGTAAATTGGCTAGTCAACACTACCCATCAATAATTCTTGGGATACTCTCATTGAATAGTGGGATTTGACCAACACTCCTATAACACACTCATGGTCTCAAAGTGAGGAGTATGAGGCCTTGTTCAACCCAACTGACAAATGTTTCCCCAAAGAAATGAAGATTGAGAACAAACAAGATTTCAACTAGCATTAGTGCCTGCTAACCAGGTGTATTAATACACTAATTGTTCTGGTCTCAGTCTTTACTTCATTGTTTGTTAGGAATGAAAAAGCAAGATTCTTAAGCTATGTTGAAAACATTTAAGGCCTAGAATTTGTTAATTCTCAATGATAGAAAGTGCTATATATATTTATTTTTTTATTAGTTAAAACAAGTAAATGTTTTTTGAAGAGGTGAAAACAGATTTGAACTCATGTATTTACTTGTCAAGAAGAGATCTAATGTACTAATTTACCATGTTTTGGATGGGTGCTATATATATTTATTGATTTTTTATTAGTTAAAACAAGTAAATGTTTTTTGAAGAGGTGAAAACAGATTTGAACTCATGTATTTACTTGTCAAGAAGAGATCTAACGTACTAATTTACCATGTTTTGGATGGCAAAATAATTTGGTTGTTACAAAAACTTGATTTTTGAGTAATAAACATGGCACATTATTTGAGATTTATTCTATTGATTTGGGGTTGGGTGGGAAAGTTCAAACGGTGGTCAATGTAGCTTTACAGCATGTATGTAAAAGCTTAAAGCTAGTACTTAACTGACAGGTTCTCAAAATGAGCCAGTGCTTGTTTATTATCTGCCTATGAAATTCCTGGTAGAATGTCTTTTAATTAATTCACCATAAACAAAAGAACTAATGTTTATTTAAAACACTTCCAATATCAGACTCACTTAAGTGTATATTAAGTAATTCCTATAAAGTATGCTATATTTAGGTTACGTATTATTTGGATGGTAATGGAAAATACAGTGAAGAGAAAGGTATGTTTGGCTTCGAAATTTTCCAGCCTACAAAATGGAAAGACATCAAATTTTGAATACGTATATTACTAATCAAGTTTTATGACCAAATCTCCTATGAATGACATTTTTTTATGACGTTTGAATTTATATAAGCTCTCAATATGATTATACAGTCTGCATAAGAATCTTGAATATTTGAAGGATTTAATTAGTTTTGTAGTAACAGTTGTTACAAAATATTAAACTTATTTGCATTGTGTTATCTTATACATTATTAATCTTACACCTTCAAGGATAAGTAACAAAAACCAACTGCAACTAAACATACTCAGTTCACTTCCAGGAGGCTATGTCCCTCCACCAACATGCTACTCTGGACTTGCTGATCCCCCAGATAACTTGCTTTGTTTTTGTTGGTTGTCCCCCTCCTTTTAAAGAGGGATACTAGAAGGAAGGCAGTTAGTCAATGCTAACTAGTGGGCTATTCTTTACCAACATATAGTGGGATTGACTGTCACATTATAATGCCCCCATGGCATGTTCAGTGATGGGATTCGAACTTGCAGATTGTAAGTCGAGTGCCCTAAACACTTGCCTCTTGAATATCTTATAAACTTAACGTGGAACCTTCTAATTGATTTTAAATTGAAGGTTTTAGGTTCATTTAATCTTCTTGGGGGGGGGGGGGGAATGGCAATTGGCCATCCTTTACAATTTTGCATCCCTGCAAAATATTTGCTGTATAACTTCTAATAACATCTTTACATGGTGTAATACATGCGAGTTACTTAAGATATTATAAAAAGCCGTGTGCACAACAACCTTACAATTTCTTTTTTGTTTATGCAAAAATTCATAATTTTGGTGATGAGACAAAAACAAGTATATTCTTTTAAAGTTTTTCTTGAAATAAGAAATACATAAAAAATCTAAAAACTGACGTATAAGCTTTCAATATGTAGCAAAACATCTATTTTAAGAGCTCAAAGTTAACTATGAATTTTTTGTGAACCATTAAGAGCATAACTAGTATTGGCATCAACTAATTATATTCATCAGAGGGCTTCAACTACAAAAGAAAAAAACCTTTAAAAATTTCTTAAAAATCGATACGTTTAAGTTGCAATAAAGCAAAGGCATTTTTCAAGTTTCGATTGTTAAGAGCAATAAGCTATTCTGTTGAATTATAGTGCTTCAGAGACATGATTTAATGCATTATATTGTGCTAAATGCATGTTGAGTAGTGACAGGAGAAATAAAATTGTCACATCAGTGTTTCAACCATCGGGAGCATCTTCCTCACCAAAGACTTGAGCTTTTAAATTTAACGCAATGTCCGTTACAGACAGATCAGTTTTTTTGTCCACAACTGTTCTCCAGACAAGGCAGCAAGTTTTCACTCTTCCACATATTTTAATGGAAGAGCTCAGGCCCCTCCACTGATGACCTTGAAAGCCCAAAATGTGTGGGAAAATTTTTTTTTGTTTTGCTGTTATACATTTAGATAGTTAGGTTACTGTATTCATTACAAATATTATTGAATTACATGTATATTTCGGATTGATCCTGAAAACAAGTTTTTATGGTAAGTTGGCAGGAACCATAATTATCCTACAGTAAATATCTGGTCGATTTAACAACAGACTGATGTCAAAGAAAAAAAAGGTTATTTGTAAAATTTCAGAATTCAAGTTTTTTGCAGAACAACTACATAAAAACCGTATTACCGACCAATTATCAATACTTCAGTCTTTTTATAATGGTAAAGATTTCTATACATGTGGTGGCAGAGCACAGATAGCATATTGTGTAGCGTTGTGCTTAACAACAACAAACAAAACAAAATAATGTTCCAGCTATAGGTCTGTTTCTTGCAGCATTGCACATTGAATGGTCAAGAATTTGCCTTGAACCAAATAAATGGATGTTAAACATGTTGCCCATGGCACCACAGCACACATTTTTTGGCATCATACCACAGCATTAGCATAACAAATCTTTTTGTTATAAATTGCAGTATATCCTCTTTTTATTGGAAGAACAACCATTTAACTCTTCTCAACATTAAAAAAATAGTTTTTTGTATTGGAAATAAAAGTATTAATAGTCTTGCACCATTTCAAGAAAAAAATTCCATAATTTTTAAGTGTACAGATAAAGAACTGAGTAGAATATAATGAAGAAAAAGAAAAACATAGTAAGCCTCCAGAGTTACTGCTGAGCTACTGGAGGGATGTATGTCACAATCCTTTCTAATTAAGTATATTTATACAGAAAGATTGTTAGGTGATGTAGAGCCAGAGAGCACAACATTTTGATGGAGGAAGACTTCAATGCTCTCCATGGAAGCAGAGAAAACTTTCACAGCAGAACATTTAAGACCACAAAGGGCTATGAAACCACATTCCAAGAGAATGTGGAACAAAGTCCACATATACAGAATGCTCTGGTAATAAGAGAGAATCCCCTCAGCCATAAAAAAACTGTGATGAGCTGGATGTATCTCCTGGCACCAACAACTAGACAATAAAAAAGGATTTAAAATTGACCAAGACTTGCAAGCTTCCAGCCACAACTCAAAATCCATATATATTTGATGATGCTTTTAATGGTGAAACTATGGTCGTAATAAACAAAATATCTGTGAAATGTACAGTTGTCTTTACTTTGCTCAATTTTGTAATTACATAATTTCACCAAGTTCCAATGGTTTCAAGTATTAGTTATATTAATGAAGTATATATAAATATATATACTTGAAATAATTTACCATCATAATTATCATTATGACATGAAATTAAATTTTCTTTTTGTTATAAAACAGCACGTTTAAATTATGATTTAGTGAAAAATATTTCATTTAACCATAGAATGCTTGCTTGTTTAATTTTGCACAAAGCTATTTGAAAACTATATGACCCAGCCATCTCTAATCTTGAAATGATAAAAAAAGCAGCTAGTCAACACCACCCATTGGACTCTTGGGCTACTCTTTACCAATGAAAAGTGGGATTGATTATCACATTATGGTATCCCCATGACTAAAACGACAAGCATGTTCGTTGACAGGTTTTGATTCTGCAATATGGCAGTTGCGAATTGAGCACCCAAACCACCAGGCGTAGCCAAGCACTTAACTACTGTTTGTTTCTTTGTTTTGAATTTCGCGAAAGCTACACAAGGGCTACATGCACTAGCCGTCCCTAATTTAGCAGTGTAAGACTAAATGAAGGCAGCTAGTCATCACCGCCCACTGCCAACTCTTTTACCAATGAATAGTGGGATTGACCATCACATAATAATGCCCCCACGACTGAAAGGGCAAGCACGTTTGGTGGGACGGGGATTTAAACCCGCTAACAACCTGGCCATGCCGGGCCTTTAACTACTGATCATTGGCATTACAAGTATAAGAAGAAAATCACACAATATAGATTTAAACCAAATTTAATTAAAAGTTTCATAATGTCATAGTTTTTCTCAAAAACATATCTGAGAATTGGTATAATTCAGATTAAAAAAGATAAAACAGAAAAACAAGTAAGGATCTACTGTAAAAATCTATACTAACATATTATAACTATACAATAAGAACCAGCTGTAATGATCAATTTGACACAAAATTCATAAAGATTAAAAGAAGTTAATTCATATGATAAAGAACCCATTCAATTAAGATTTTGTGACCCATTACACATTTGGAAAGTTACCGTCCATTTGTCTGAGAAAGTCGCACGTATTCTGAACTACCACAGAAATCATAAATCTATTTCTTCTACAGAAAAATAAATCTTTTAACTTGTTACTGATTCTCTATAACTGTTTTGATTACAAAAATAAATTTTGTCGAAACCAGTGCAAAATTATAATCAGTATTTACAATCAGGTTTAATTCTCAATTATAAATGTAAATGTGGATTTTCAAGAAGGTGGCACATTTCTGTTTCACAAAACTGAGAATTCAAATTTACTTTAAAAAATTTTTGTACTAGAGAGAAGAAAAAAGGAAATGGCACTTGAAGACACCCCCACACAGTACTTATCTGTCACCTACAATTTCACTGAAGTATTACATACATAATAGTAACAGTAATCATATTCGTGTGACCAACGTTACTTCTTACTGTTTCCTGCAGCTTCAATTTTTTTTTTATTGGAGGTCAAAATCTTATTCAGGACCTATTCTGTACAGACACTGTATATGAAGTACCATATTACAACTGCTGGAGCTTTTGTTTTACCTTCATAATCACATGCCTCATCTTCTCGTACATTCCAGTCGAGTTGGACAAGTTTTCGAAAGGTAAATGTTCTGATACTCCGTCCTTAAATTTGGAAGAATCTGGTATGGATGTAAAGGAGCTAAATTTTGTGAGAACAGGGGTGCCACTAGACACTGAGAGGGAGCGGCTATGTTTCTTTTTCACCGGCAATTGTTTGAAGCCTTCGCTTTCACCAGGCTCTGAATCACTTTGTAAGCTATGTCTGTTTTCTGTCGCAAATGGTGATTTGATGTCATCAAATGAAATTTCGTCATTTAAACTGCTTGTATCCTCTAAATCTGTTTTACTAGAAACCTGATTCAGTTTCTGCATCAAACTTTTTTTAGTTTCTTCCAGGTCGGTTAAACACGGTGAGGTTGCTCGTGACGATACTTGGCTAGATGTTGCAGTACCCTGATCATCAGTACCCAAGCATTCTGATAGAGGCAAGGTAGAGGGAAGTGGAGGAGTGTTTGGAGGGTTATCGGTTGGAAGAGGTGGGGTGTTTCGGGGGTCATCGGGGGGAAGAGGTGGAATAAACTTACAGGTATTAGCTTCTTCATAATCCGAATCAATTATTCTTCCATCTGTATAACAAAGAAAAGAGCAAGCAGATCAAAATACTCTAAAAAAATAATCATTCTAATTCTAAATAACAAGAAGATTCTTTTATCATTCCATTTTTAGTCTCAATGATGATGATCTACTTTGAAAATAACACTCATTTCAATACATCTTTGAAATAATGGATTATTAGTAAATAAAATTCAAATGGAGGTTTTAGATTAGGTGTTTTTCTTTTATCATTGGCAAGAATACAACTAAAACACCTAAAACAAAAAGTGTAACATACCATTATTATAGTCAACTTCCATATCTTCTTCCTTTCTGTCTATTTTCAATTCTTTTGCTCTAATTTTTGAAGATTCAGAAAATTTCCTTTTTACAAAAGGTTTCGGTTCCTAAAAATATAAATTGTTACATTACATTTGACATAAAGATGTACAATACATGCACACGTGTTAAAAATGTAGCCAGACAGTTATAATACTATATAAGGAACTGCAGTTATAGCTCTCCTATTCTTGAAACAATTTAACTTAGCTTAAGTTACATATTGTATTTGCTGGTGTACAAGACAACCCTGGATTTTTTTTAGCAAATCAAGGGTATTTCTTTGAGGTTCGGTGTATAGAGCGACCTCTATAGTCAAGCAAGTCTACTTTTGTAAGGAAATTTTTAGAAGTTATATTTAAACTGTGCTAACTTGCACTATGGGGTAATCAATACAACCACAAATTTTTTTTTATACTCTTCAAACACCACAGACAGCTCAGTGTAGCATCACTTATGTCACAAACATGTAATAAACAACTTTATAAAGTTTTCATCACATCTGAACTCCGTTTCTATTACAAAAAAATACTAAACCTTAAGAGTTTGTGATCTACTTTTAAACATGTTTACAATATTAGTGTATGTTACAGAAACTAACTTTTGTTGATAGAATATTAGTAATACTTTAGTATCATGGATGAGATTAATATATTTCAAATAAAAAATGTCTTGATTAATTGTAACTAACATGTGAGATAAATAATTTCCAGTTATGAAAAATTGAGACAAATGATACAATTACAAATATGTTATTGTAACGCAGTAGGTGGCACGATGTCAACACACTTATTCATAAAAAGGGAAACAAATAAGAGAGGAACAATGAAGTTTTGATTAAATATGTTATTAACCTGAGAGTTCTTACTGTAACTCTTATCTATTAACCTGTGTATAAGATGAGGGGTAAAATCAGGCATTGTAGAGTAAAAAGTATTGTCTTGTACACCACCAAATATGGTATTTATGAATGATTCGACTGTTTAGACAATTACTTAGAAAATAAAAAACAAATAAATAAAACACAGTTGCAAATTTGAATTACTGGTATACTGTTTACCAAAATATTAACACTATGTGCATAACACTAGTGTATTGTATCAACCCATTTCTGTGAAATTACTAAGTATATCTTCACAAAATCCGGTAAATTTTTTGATAAATATTACAAGCATGTATACATAGAAAGGCTGTTTAATATTAAAGTATTTCTATTAAAGTATTGCCAGTGAATTAACTGAGTCGGTCTGATTCAGACTAGTCTGAGTGTAAGGTCATTTTGATGTTAAGAATAAAAATACTTTTTCTTTACAGTTTCATATTTCCATAACACCTAGAACCTCCTAAATAATGTGAAGTGTTTTTCCAGTAAAACTATACTTCATATCTTATTTTCTCTAGCCACCCTAACTGTAGCAAAAGTTGAGAAACATGAAATAAAATCAAAAGTATATATATTTCTTCTCTAAAATGACTGCAGATTGTAACAGACAGTTATAATTATTTATCCTAACACATCTGCTTTCATTGAACTTTGTTTTATTGCTGTAACTAGTGTAAAAAAGAACCAATAAACCATCCACAGCAAGAGCTCAGTGCAAGTTACAGTAAATAAAGTGTTAGATTATATCACGGACAGCAGTTTTTGTGGAGAAATTATTTAGTTTTATTACCTAACCTAATGTTTCTAATTATTACATTTTTAATTACTTTTATAACAATAAGCAAAACATACAAAAATAGAAAAGAAATTTAGTGTTTACCTATGAGCTCGTGAAATTTTACACTCTGAAAGATGTAATACTTTGAAGTATCTTAACAATAACTTTTTTTGTAAGGATGTTGATGTTGAACGAAACATTTTTTTTAAAATTGCATACATGAACTTAGAATACAAAGTATTATCATGCACAAAAATTAGAATGCCCTAAAACTACTATAATTTAGCTAAGCCATAAATGGATTGAAAACACTTTGTTAATAAGTCAAGGAACACTTCACAATACCAAACAATGAAATTGAGATCACTATATTTCAAAAAGTGTAATGTGGATGAGAAAGTTTCATAACGAATTCAGTAAAGTTGATTATAAATAATCCAGAATTATTAACATTTTTTGAAAGATTGGATGTGATAAGAACAGTATGACATGTGGGTTTCACATTATGGCATAGCAATATCAACACTATAAATATGTAATTTGTGTCACACTCAGAAGGTCATATTGAGGTAGAAAGCAAATCTTAAAAGGGCAATTCGGAGTGGAAAAGTGTTGTATAATACAGGGAAGTAATGACTGAGAATTTATTTAAACATTTCCTTTTGATAATAAATATGAAATATAACTTTGTAGAAAATGTTGCGACATGTGCACTTTGACCACCCATCATACACACAAGGTTAACACAACTGTGATACATTTTCAAAATATGCAGATAAGATACTGGCAGATTTTATTCTCCACATAAGAGAAACCTAAACCTAATCTAAATCATGGCTCTACTTAGAGATCTGGTACTATTTTGACTTCTTTTGCAAGAAGTCATAGATGCAAGAGGATAAGGAGAAGAATGATAACTATCTTATTGTTGTTGAAAATGTTTTATTTTCTAAATTATAATGTCCAGTTTAAAATAATTATTTTATATAACTAAATTCATAACATCATTTCCGTAAATTGTACTGCTAAAACAGCCTGTACATACATTAAACTGTATGAGCTTAGAAACCTGTCTAGCTTCTTTATTGACCAAAACAATGTCACCATGAGTAAATAATACATACAGAATAAAAACATCAGGTTATGCTAAAAAGCACTCAACATGTCACTAAAAAAATTTATAAAATGAATGTGATAAAGTTTATATCTTTGAAGTTTTTGTATTTTTTCTGTATGAAACAATACAGAGCATGTATCCCAATTTTTAAATAAAACATTTTTTCTGTTGTTGTGTAGCAATGCTACCAGTCAAGTCGCAAGTGTATACCAGAATGATTCCACTGAAAGAATTGGACCTAATTTAGTTTTGTAGCACATCATGTAGGCAGCACTGTGATAGGTTATGGCAAGGACAATTTCACAAGCTTTTTACTAACTCTTCTCATTTCATTGTGTTACAACATCTTGAGAATTAAAAACAGGAATTATACGCAATCCCATAAGAGAAATTATGGTTTATTTTAGTTTTTGCACAAACTACACAAAGGGCCCTAATTTAGGAAAGAAAGGAATGTTCTTACAGTTTTGCAGGAATTATTAGCTAGATGTGTAAACGTCATAAGAGAAATAATGTTTACAATTTAGATTAGTTTTCCATCCTTAAATGTAATTTGTTAAACAAGTAAAGGCAGATGACTTAAATCACAATTTATTTTTACTGAAAAGAAATCAGTGTTTTAGTACTTGTGTCTGAAAATATACTGAAGCATATAAGATTTATATAAAATATCATCGAACTTTACGCATTGCTGGTCTAAAATTAACCATCTATAGGGAAAAGTTAAGATCCAAATTTTTCGCATACTTTATCATGTAATACTTTGTTTTGTTTAGAGAAATGCATTTGTTTTAGTGAATGGAAGTGTGTTGAAGAGAAAGTCCAGCATATTCTGTAGTGTCATAATTTAAAGTGACTGTGCAAAGCCTAATGGTTAACATTCTGGACTGTGAAACCATGAATTCATTATTAACATCCTGTTGCTACAAAAATACACTAGGGGCCATGGGTATTATAAGGTTGACAGTCAAGTCCCATTATTTTGTCAGACAAGTTTGTTAGCTTCCTTTCCACTAGTAATTATTAAAAAAAAAAGAAAGAAAGAAGGTGTTTTCTCAAAAAACTAAATTTAATCAATGATAGACCCAGTGCCCTCAAAATGTTAAAACATGAATACACACAAGATAATATTAGACAAATTTTCCAGATGGAAAACTTTCAAGAGAAAGAGTATTTATATACACATAATTAAAACTTTACCGTAGACTTCACCGTATGCTTTGCAGCATGTCGAAGTTGATGAAATTGCAAAGAGGGCATCCTGAGATATTTACTTTCCTGTACAAGATAAGAGGTACTTAAAAATGGTACAACAATTCAGAAAATATGATGCAATTATAAAGCTCAGTTGATACAAGGTTTTATATATTCTTCAATAACTTATAAATGACTTTATGTTAAATTTACAAAGGATGTAATATAGCATGTAGTTAAAACAATTTCAAAATCTGTGCTAAATCTCACTTATGGTTACTTAATTAAAAAATCAAAAATGATTGGTTTGGTTTGAATTTCGCACAAAGCTACACAAGGGCTGCTTGTGCTAGCCGTCCCTAATTTAGTACTTATAGACTTTGTTCCGTACTGTGTATATATATATATATCTGTGTCAGTGTAAACTACTTGTATCTGATGATGACAGAACCTTGTCGAAACGTTGTACACTTGCTGTTATGTGAAACTTATATTAAAGTTTTTCTTCATTACCCATTCAAGCCATCTCCAAGCATTATAACATAGTTAAAATTCCATTAAATAAAAACACAATTCTGGTTCTAGTTGATTTTGTTTTATTGACACTTTAAAACCAATATTGAATGATCACATGATTTACCAGGGGATATATTGATCACTACAAACTTGTAAAGACAGAAATCCCTGACTTTCTAAGAGGACATCATAGTAGTGCCCATCTTGTGGATGCATCACTATTAAATGTCATTTCAAAGACATCTTCCACCTGCTGCTTAAAAAACAAACTGGTCTGCCAGCCACTGATGAGAGAATTAATTGGTCTGGTTTGTAAAATGCAACAGACTGTGTCATATACATGGACAGTCATTGGAAGCCATCCATCTACAACAGTACCATACAAGACCTTACAAAACTGTTACAGAATAGCTATAAGTCAGTTCCAAAACCACCTGTCTCGGTTGAAACAAGAAGGAACAGTTTCAGAGATGATTAAAGAATAACCAAACAAAAATTGTCGCTACTTTTGTTGTCCTGTTAGGGCTAACTGATGGAGGTAGCTTGATAGTGTGAGAAATATTCTCCTGGCTGGATTACATTTTTGTTTCCTTTAGAAAGAAAAATAACATCCATTGTGTAACACAATATTTTTGATAATCAAATTCACTTCAAAATTTTTCATTTCAATGCTAAAGGACAAACATTCTTCCAAGATGATAATGGAACAAGAGCTTCAGTGATCTTTCTTGGCCAGCACAAACATATATGAATGAAGAATACTTGAGATTACCAACCCCCTAATCCCATGGAATTACAGATATTATTTCTTGTCATTGATAAAGGGGCTACAATGAAATATAATAACATATGTCAGCTTTTAAAAGTTGTGCCACGTTTATTATAATGGTAAAAGGTGGTCTAATCTAGTACTAAGAGTGTTGTGAGGTGCTAAAGCACCTAGTCAGTGTATAGTGGTAAAATATAAAAATAAATTGATAAGAGCTTTATTGTAGCAGTAAAAATATTTAAAAAATAGCTAGAGAAACAAGAGATAAAGAACAAATATTATGAAAAGTATATATATTCTTTCATACACACAAAAAGAAACACATAGAGAGAAAAACAATGACTTCATGCTACCTAATGGATTAAAGTTTTTTTAGATATGATGATCTTTAAGTGATTAACAAACTACAAATTAAAAATTTAAAAGCAATAAACTAGTTAACTAATGGCTTAAACTGTAATACATGCACATAAATATATGTGTATACTGGATTATGTAAAGCATGGTCCGTACAGACAGGTTGAAAAATTCCAGGACTCAATCAATAAATTTCCAGGAACAACCAACTGAATAATTATAAACAAAAAAAACAATTATTAAGTGTATTAATTCTTACATAGTATAACATGCAAATAGGGGCATTTTATGCAAATTAAATGTTTTTATTTGAATGATTCTGTTTCAATAAACTGCTTCAGTATTTTGAAACTTTATTTTTGGAGTAACTGACTCTTGTACATGTGGAATTGCCCCATAGCAACTCTTCGGTCAACACATATAAATTTATTTGCAATGTCACCGGCAGTAAACATCATAGCAAATACTTGTTGAATATTGTGACATGATGTAAACAAGTAATGTGACGTTACAACTTTAAAGGTCCACGTTATTTCCGATTTTAAAACGTCGGTGCGAGTTAAATAATTGGAGCACTACTGATCAACCTTAGACTTAGCATTAAATTGTCCACAATCATAGACATAATCATGACTGCTAGTACTATTAGATCTAGTAGTACTATTAGTTATGGTAGATCTACTCCTAGTGGTGCTATCAGGTTTAGGCATAACGGCAACAGCCAATTTACCATCGCTTCTAGTTGATGCATTTCTTCTCCCATTGTTTAAATAATGCAATGTGCCTGGATCCTTTCATGTGGCAGTTTCACCCATATTCGAGATGTTGAAGGTTTTCTTGCTCAAGTTACAACCAGCATTGTGTTTGGCTGCATCGTCACGTACAAGCCAATCCGAATATTCTGGTTTATCACGCCATAAGGCATTAAGTGTGCATTTCCCACCAGGCATAGCTTTAATTTGCTTTATGTGTTTGGTTAAGTGTTAAGCTGATAAATCAATGGTTTGTTAAGTTTCAACAAACCCACGAACTTCCATTTGTTAAAATTGCATTAAATTGTTAATGAGAATAACACAGACAGCATTCGATTCAATATTTCTCACGTCCCATGGATTACATAAAAAAGCCTACATTATGACGGTTATAGTATGCTCGTGGGTACATAACCATGTAAAATTTTAAAAACTATTAATTTCTTGTATTTACGTGAAATGAACAGACAAAACAATTTTTTCTTTTTAAATAGTAAATTAAGTCCAAGAGTTTTCAGGAGCCTTTGTACATTTCCAGGACTTTTAAGCACTTTTACAGGACTTTTCAAGAATTCCCTGAGGCGTACGGACCCTGTAAAGTCAAAGCAGAACAGTATTGATTGATACATACATCAATGAAACCACGTGGTACTGGAACGTTAAATCCTGGGTAATCAACAAGCTTCACTGGATCATATTGCACTGTAAACAAAGAAAAATATAGTCTTAAGAATGCCTGTATCCTATTGTTGTAATTTATTATAAAAAATTACTGAACATATTCTCTCTCCAAATACTTATCTCCACCAACAATGAATTTTTATGCTATTGAGTACCTTAAAAATCCTTAATTGTTGCTCACCTTCAGCTCTACTACCAATAATGAGGAGAGAAGCAGTTAAAGATTTGAGAGGTTGATAACTACATCTCTAGAGCAGGATACAAGGGTGTCAACCACAAAAAAACATCAAGTCGCTCAGCATAAAAAAGTAAAACTTGTGAAGGTAGCACATGAGTAAGGAAAACTACCGAAGAGATTTTAAATAAGGAACCATAACACGAAGATAGGAGATACATGTGTGTGTGTCTATATATATAAAACAAGTGAAAGAAGTTCAAGGAAACTTCAAGTGACAAAATAAATTAAATGTGTATGGTATTCAGGTACATTGACACCCTACAGATAGTTGCAAACAGCATCCACACAGTATAGATTCTGGAAATGCTATACAGTGAATAATTTCAAATAGTAACAACAGTAAAAACTGAAACAAGCACTGTTGCAGAAACAGCACAAAATGTTTTTTATTCCTACTTTATTTACTCAACTAACTAGCCCCTAAATTCTGTTGAATTCAACAGGCTGCTGTTGGCAGGCAGCAGAATAAAGATAACTCATCTGCACAAGCTAGAGATGATTTCTACAGAGGAAAAAAGAAGATATTAAGATGAACTGTGCAGTATCCTGTAATCTAAAGATCACTTATTTTAAAGAGCATTTCTATTACATATATTCAAGGGAGATAAACCCTAAACTCTTACTAACTTTTACAAGTCTCTTTACTATACCTTGGAATGAGTGTGACCTCATTTCAGGAGTGCATGCGAGAGAAACAAAAGTATGAGCCTTATGGAAAAAATCATTGTAATATGTAATCTTTCTCAAAGATAAGGGATTAACACAAGTATCCTTTACATTAAAACACCAGGCTTACTAGGATGTCATAAGTACATGTAGATCACCTGCACAATAGTTTAGAAAAATTACCTAAATTTATATTCTTTATTTTAGTTATGGAAAGGTAAAGTGTGATGATATTTCTAATCATCAAAAAATACTTAAAGGCTTAAATGAATAAATGCTTGTGAATGTATAGTTTCTTTTCGTTTTTGAACTGATCATAGGTTATATTTACTGTGTATGCATGTAGACAAATATCCAAGTTGATGAAGTAACAGGCAGAATTTGGCCTATCTGTGTTCTGCCCGCCACGGGTATCGAAACCCGGTTTCTAGTGTTGTAAGTCTGCAAACATACTGCTGTACCACTGGGAGGCTAGATGCTTAGAAAAATAAATACAGTTTTTTTTTACACTTAGAGTTTTTTGGAGTATTCTCAGTAAGACCATTACGTATAACAACTGGCTTCTTTGCACACAGATAATTCAAGCTCAAATAGAATTGTTTTATTAATTAATCTTGTTAGCATAAAGAAAACACTTTGTTTAATAAAGACTTAACGTTAAAATTCTGAAAAACTTTATACCATAAAAGTGGTTCATTTAATATTTTAACTAAATATTGTATGATTTTCAGATTCAAATCTCACCTTTCATTGAGTCTAAATCAACCACACCATCTTCAATATTTTCATCATGACGAATAGCTAAAACAAGATAGTTCACATCATACATTTGAAAAACATCAAACCTTTGCTTCATTTCACCAACAGCACATTATAAAAATAGTATGTTTACAATCATACATCACATCGATTTCAAACAATCTTCCACACACAACTGTTATGGTGTGAACGTCATTTATAAGCTCTCAAAGCATAATTATAATTAATAATACTTGTCATAAGACATTAGTACTATGCCTATTACATTTCTAACGGAATATTTTTTATTATTAGGCCTATTATATTTTAACAATATACTTGTATTCTTTTTTTTTAACAAAAAAAAACCTTAAGGAGCTAACTAATGTCTTATCACTAGCATAATTAATTATCTTTCACATAATTCTAGCCATTATCAAACTATCTGGTACTAGTTGCACCAGTTTGTTTCATGTTTTTGTTTTGAATTTTGTGCAAAGCTACACGAGGGCTATCTGCACTAGCCGTCCCTAATTTAGCAGTGTAAGACTAGAGGGAGGGCAGCTAGTCGTCACCACCCACTCTTGGGTTACTCTTTTACCAACAAATAGTGGGATTGACCGTCACATTGTAATGCCCCCACGGCTGAAAGGGCGAGCATGTTTGGTGTGACGGGGATTCGAACCCACGACCCTCAGATTGCGAGTCAAGTGCCCTAACCACCTGGCCCGTTCGTTTCATAAAAAGATATTTAGAAACTTTAAAAGATTACCCTATTATCCTGGTATATGTGCATGTGATGTTACCATGTTTCAGCAAACTTTTAAAATAATAATACAAGAATAAACAGCTCTCACTAATATGCTTTTGAAAATGTAGTCCAAATTCTTTACAAAGAAACATGGTGTTGAAAAACTACTGTCTTTATTCACACTTTAATCGGAATGAAAGAAAAGTTTTAATTAATTATGTTCAATTATATTTTTATTGGTAATAAACAATTTGTCCTTCTTAAAAACCAATCTTACAAGACATAAATATAATTTTACTTCAGCCTCATGATAACTGCTTAGTCATTAAAACTAGGTACAACTTTATTTGCAATTTGTAAGCAGCAGTAGCAAAACAAAAACAAACAAAAAAAGTTAAGGATTGAAATGCTAGAAAAATTTACTTTCAGAAGTGTAACTGAACATGGACACTTATTAAGCATTGTAATTATTCTTATTTACTGTCATCATGGCCTTTCACAGACAGATGAAATGCAAGTAACATCCACAGAGCAACATTTGATGGCATGTTATATGTTTTTTGCTACATGTAAAACATGAGACAAGATGGCTAATGCTTAAATATCAGTTGCATGGTTTTTATATGAAATACTAGTATATGAGATTCAAGTACATTTATAAATGTAAACCTTATAACACTACTCTGGTGATCAAAAAAGTAAAAATGTAGGAAAACCACATCTAATACCAGATGTACTTCTGGAGGGTCCCTGAAAGTGTTCTGTTTCAAGAGTAAATAAAACCAAGATTAAGAGTAAAAAATATTTTTATTTCTTGCTTTTGACATTCATATATATATCATGCTGTGTTGTAGCCTACAGAGTGAATAAATTCTTCTCGTTATTCATGGCATGTGCACCTTTTACTGATGTCCTAACAGTACAAATTGCAATGTTGCCTCCCTTATGTGACATCATTTTAGTGTCTACTGACTGACTGATAGACAACGCTACTGTATAGTGGTGTGAGTGGTTAAAACGGGTGACCCCTTCAGTCCCCTTTAAGGAAAACAATACTACAACTAAATGTGTGGTATTTACAAATGAGAGATGGTTTGCCGAAACCAAAAATTGTAATTTTTTTGAAGACTATCAAAGATTTACTCACTCCTCTGCAAGGGTAAAAGCCCCCCCCCCCTCATGATTTGACAGAAGCCTCAATGTACCAATGAAGCTCCTACACTATCCCCAATTACTTTTATAGTTAGCACGTATGCAAAAAACAACAAAAACAAATTCAGTTAAGCCACTTGCCCATGGTACCTGAGCACGTGTGCCAAATTTGGCCCTGCTAGCTTTAGAGTGGGGTTATGAAAACAGTTTCAAACACAGTGATCTCATGATTCTGAGGGGCCAGGAACACAACATTCAATGTCATATTCAGATTCAGCAACCCTGAAAAGCTACTTTAAATCTCCATCATGCCTGGCTGACCTTCCAGGGGGTATTTTGGCCATTCTTGGTAAGGGGGATATGGTATATACATAATGACACCCCTCTGAGTCCACTTACCAAGTCTGGTCCTAGTAGCTCCTGAACTGTGGCAGGAGTTAGCTGAACATACATAAATACAAAGCTAAAAGCTGCATTAATATAGGATAAAACACGAACATTCACCAAGTTTTTAAATGATTTGTTATTCATGTAGAACTAGTGGCAAAACCTTTTGAAAGATACGTTACATATTTCTGATGCCACAAGTAACCAACAAGAGGTATTGATATATTACAACTCGCATTGTTCCTTACTTGATGTTATACAAGATAAACTTTTACTGAATACGACATACAATTTAAGAAATAATATACGAAGTACAATTTTTATTCTAATCCTTGTTTTCTCCAGAAATCAGTATGACTTGTACGGATGTTTAAACAAACAAATAAACTGGAAATATTCAAATACAGATAAACAGCTTAAAAATACAAACCTTTACCATCCGATCCATACATCATCAATCCTGAACTTTCTATCTCTGCTTCTTTCAGCCAACCAGGAGGGTAGCCCAAGATTCTCATCCGATAAATGTACGGAGGGAGTTGATTAGGTTGCAACTCAAGTGCTCGTTGAAGTTCAACACTACCGTGTTAACACAATTAAGGGGAAGAAAGTATGGAAAAAATTAATAACGAGAAGGCTGTCTGTATCAACTTAGTTTCTGTCTACACGTAGAAGAATAGTGTATGAGAAGAAGTGTTCAAGTTACAGAGACGAAAATTTAAGATTTTGTGAACTCATGCATCATGTGACAACAAAACTAAAGTTTAAGAATTTTTTTTTGAAATAAAGGAATTAAAATTTATATAACATAAAAGTTTGAATTATAATTTTATTGTCATTCATTGATTGTGAAGTTGCTTAATCAAGTTTTAGATGTAACTCAGTGAAACCTCATGACATGCACATGTAGGGTTAAGTGAGTAAAATCCAGTTTACTTTTAATTTGATAAATCTCTTTCATCATACATTTCTCTAGGGTGTGTAAATGATTCACAATAAGCCACAAAAGCAGGCAGCAATACACAAGTATGGCACAAAACCTACAATTACTTCCACTACGTTCAGCATGAAATTCATAAGTTATCGAAGGATTACACACCGATAAAGCTACAAATAAAACAATATTTCATCAATTTTTACTTAAGTTGATGACGAAGAATCAAATATATTACAAGATTTAAAAGAGAAAACAAGTTACTGTAGAATAATAATTACATTCTTTTGTCACGCTAGCTTGGTTTCTCGTAATCCAGCGATTTTTAGAAAATAAAAATAAATACTAATTTGTTGTTTCTACACATAGCAACTCTTGTTTATTTGAGTCTCTGTTGATTATTTCTGTATTTAAAATAGCATAATTGTTTTCAAATATTGTTAAATTACTCCTTTGATCTCAAAAAGAGATTGACTTACCTAATAACACCAGGTGTAAAACTTCTTCCCCTCTCCTCTTGATGATATCTAGATCACAACCATAAAGTTCACACTAGATCACAACCATTAAGTTCACACAAGATTCTTTTATAATATATTTAATGTTACTAACATGATTAATATTTTTCACCTGTTTAATATAAACAGTTGGAAAGACAAAGTTTTTTATAATGTAGATCAAACAACTTTAAAAAATAATTAAAGTACAATTTATAGTTGTATGGTAGCTAAAGTAGGTACCAAAAAATAATTTTCATATGTTGGCACACATCAAAGTTAACTTCTATGCATATCACTATAGATAAATGTGAAAAACGTTCATAAAGATTTGAAGTTACAACTTGAACAATGGGAGCTGAGCATTATATATGCCAATTTAAAGTCTTTCAGCTCAAAAGGAAATTAATACACCACACTACTACGCATCCACCATTTGAAGATCACTACGATAAAGACTATAAAAATCACAACATATTTTTGATACCAAGTGAAAGAAAACAGAGATACTGCATGACAAACCTAGCCTTGGACATAGTTGATGAAGTCATGTACTCCTTGCGATTCTTTGCTATTCTCCTCTTGTCGTGTTTTTCATGACATTTATCCAACAGATGGTCACCCATACAATTAAAACAAGTGAACTTAGGTCTGATCAAAACAAAACGAAAAACAATATGAATATAGACAATGTTGGAACAAAAGTTGCATTTAAAAAAAAACGTCATTTACAAATAAACTTGAAATAATCGGAGGCAGAACAAGTTATTCTTGATATTGTGTGTTTCTGAGCCACCTTATAAAATTCAAGTTTATATACATTGCAAAAACATAGAGAAAGACAAACATTCTAATGAACTTTTAATTCAACAAAATATTCTGACCTTTTATATTTGAACACAATGAGTAATCATGTATATAATAATCCAATCAGGTCTGTTCTGCTACAAATTAACAACAGAATAAGATGAAAACTCCAAAAAGTTTTGTCTCGTATGAAATATAATCTAAACCTTTTTCTTTTTTTTATAAATAATGGTGTCAACTAGACCAGTGTTTTCCAACTGGTGTACCGGGCATGGTGGTGTGCTACAGAATTTTGGAAAAAAGTCGCATGAGAAAAACAAGTAAATGAAACATATCATTTGTTGTTCAAACTAATTTTGGGGGTGGATCCAATGTCTTGAAGATTTCAACCACGTCCAAGCTCCTCAGAGTTCATCATCAATGGGTGGTAGGGTTCATGTATCATATATCATTTGCATTAAAATAAGTATGATTTGAAAAAGGTTGGGAAACACTGAACTAGACTGTATGTATTATAAAATGTTGTAAATAGAAGGGTTAAAATTTATCTTTATTACTTAACATTTGTGTTTTTTCTTTTAATAAGTGAAAAGAAAAAATATAACTTACTACTCCAATAATGGCAAATTAATGTAGCTTTTTTTTTAAATGGATAACATTGGTATGAATGCATGTTTTGATGCACCATCCCTTACTGCAGCATTAGAAATTAAGTTATATGTTTATCAATATCTGAGTAACAAAACTAGGAGACAGTTTACCGAAACCTGTTTTATCTATGAAAAACTTATTGAAAAAAATATATACTAGTCTTATTCCCTGTTCATTTTGATGTAATCGTGCTGGTTATAAAATAATTATTTCTAAGAACAAAGGTAGAAGTTTTCTTAGGTTAGTTATGATTGAAATCCTAGTCAGATGACACTTTGTCAAAGATTAAATAGTGCTTGTTATACTACAACTGTTGTTATGAAGAAGCAATACCGAGACAGTTTTTGTTTGAGCTTCTGGGGATTTCCTTCTGTTCTCTTGTCTTGCAGGATCTCCCTATAATTTTTATCATAGCTGTATTACGTTATCTCATTAAAGAAAAATCTGTAAAGGTATCTACTTACTGCACTGTTAAAGTATCTTAAACCCTGAAACAAAGGTAATTTAACGGAAGGACAAGCTAATGAAATATAAACAATTACTAGAAAAATAGCATACTTTATATCCTACACAGTTAACACTTGATAAGGATGGTTGGTCAGTTTTTAATGTTCAAAAGATGTTCAATTAAATTATAATTTCTTTCTCAGATCAGAAAATCAGAAATCTACTGAGAAGCAAAAATATATTTTACAATATCATTTCAATACATTTCTTAGGCAGAATGCTAATGTTCTAATACTTTGTTACCTCTGTTAATAACGTATATTAAAAAAAAACAAGCATATATATATATATATATGGTGGAAAAAGATACACAGGAAGTCTGTTTTGTTCTGCATAGGAAGTTTTGTCTCCTGTATGCTGGAGAGTGTCAACATAGAAATCTTGAAAGAACTGTAGTTGTCCACTATCCTAAAAAATAAAGTACACAGAATGATTATAAACTTCTAAGAGAAATGACATCTGGTGAATAAAAAGTGTATTAGCATAAATTGAACACAAAAAATAAATTACACAGCATGATCATAAATCTCTAAGAAAAGTGACACCTGGTGAATACAAAGTGTATTTGCATAAATTGAACACAAAAAATAAATAAACTGGTGAAAAGATATTAATCTAATTTTATGCGTATAAAGAGAGATGTGAAATAATTTTAGCCTTGCGTCTCAGTAATATAATCATAACCAAATCATATCTTTAATAGTTCTTCATACTTGACGTTTTGAATTAATAAAAATTCTTCTATTCATGTTTTGCTTATATGTTTAGGATAATCATGCAAACTACACAAGGGATATCTTAGCAAGCAATCTTTAATTTTGAACCAATAGACTACAGGGAATGAAGCTAGTCATCAATAGCCATTGCCAATATTTATAATGGATTCATGAACCTAAAGTGTGGAGTGTGACTTTTTATGTGTGGTAATGGGACATAAGCCATATACACTGAGTGGTCACAAATAAATAGACACCTAATTTTTCGTCATTTAACTGATTTATGCTAACTAATTTGTGTTCACAGAGCACTATATAAATGAAAATGGTCCAGGAAGATGGAGCACCGTGTCACACTGTTAGAAACACCCAAAAGTGGCAGGAAGAAAATGGTATCCAGAAGTTGCCCTGGATGAGCCAATCTCCTGACATGAACCCCATCGAAAACCTCTGGGCCATACTCGACTGGCAAGTCAAGAAACAACCAAAAAAATCAACTTCGAAGAGCGAT